AAATTCGGTGTCTTAAAAATATCATAATTAAATGCAGTTGAAGAAAGAAATCGACAGATTTTTGTGAAATCTTTGTGTTTCTGTGAGGTTTGAGAAGGATGCAAGAGCAACTTCCTCCTACTGCGCAGGGACTCCAACTACACTGGATGCTCCAGTCAAGTAAACAAACGTTCTGAAGGACAAAGAACAAAATTTCAGAATGACAAAATGGTCACTTCTGAATTAAAATGAACTTTTAAAAGTCAATCTTTAATTGACTTAAAAATTAAAAACTTTCATATTTGGCTGGGTGCAGTGGTTCATGTCTATAATCCCAGCACTTTGGAAGGTTGAGGTGGGAGGATTGCTTGAGGCCAGAAGTTCAACACCAGCCTGGGCATCACAGTGAGACCCTGTCTCCATAAAACATTTTACTTTTTTTTTTTTTTTTTGAGACAGAGTCCTGCTGTGTTGCCCAGGCTGGAGGGCAGTGGTACAATCTTGGCTCACTGCAACCTCCGCCTCCTGGGGTCAAGCTATTCTCCTGGCTCAGCCTCCTGAGTAGCTGGGATTACAGGTGCCTACCACCACACCCAGCTAATTTTTGTATTTTAAGTAGAGACAGGTTTTGACCATGTTGGTCAGGTTGGTCTCAAACTCCTGACCTCAAGTGATCTGCCCGCCTTGGCCTACCAAAGTGCTGGAATTACAGGTGTGAGCCACTGCGCTTGGCCAAAACATTAAAAAAAATTAGCTGAACATGGTGGCAGATGCCTGTAGTCCCAGATACTCCAGAGGCTGAGGCAGGAGGCTCTCTTAAGCCCAAGAGGTTGAGGCTGCCGTGAGCCATAATTGTTCCACTGCACTCCAGCCTGGGCAATGAAGCGAGATCCTGCCTCAATAAATTAAATTAAATTAGATTAAAAACCTTTATTGCCTTGTCTACTTATTATCTATTTATTGAAGCCTGTCTCTTGTTGGAGTGGAGGGAATGAAGAGGTGGGCAGCAAAGTCAAGCTGGTTCATCCATTGATTGGATGTTAAAATCAATGTATATGGAAAGAGGTAAAACAGAGTAAGACATTTAACACATTTTAAAATCCCAGGCGGATGGGAACTAATTTTTTATCCTTTCTCTGCCTCAGTTTTCTTTATTCAAATAATGGGACCAATAGACCTCTGTGTTATTGGGTTATCTAAAGAAATAACTAACAGCAGTTAGTGAAGTATAAAACCAAGAGTTGAAATGGGAAATTAGGCTGCATATCCTAATGTCTAAATCACTCCCAGGTTGTGAACTAGGGACAGAGAAAAGTTATCACCCTTTCCAACTAATTAATATTGTCTCATCCTGAGGATTTCCATTTTCAGACCCACCCTCTGGCTCTGACATGTTTATTTCTAATTCTGAGAGCCCAACCGAATAGTCATTGGAGAAGTTTCAGTCCCTGGGAAATTCCAAGAAATATCATTCCATGCACACCACGGACTCTAGAATGGATATTCCTGTGCATTAGCTCACCAGGAAAAGGAACACTCTGTTGTACTCTGCTAGATTTTCTTGCAAGGATTCATGAGCAGATCTGTTTCCGATGCAGAATGTCTGAGCAGAAACAGAAATGACAATCATTTGAAATTGGGGATCACTTGTGACCCATTTTCACAAAGGCCTGAAATTCATCTTTACAGTTCCTTGATTCATTCATGAGACTGCCATTCATCTAGCAGCATCATGTCATGCAGCCCAGCCCAGGTCATTTGAGAGTTTGTTTTAAGTGTCCAGTCTTTAGAAATGTCTCTCCTGTAATCTCTGAAAAGAGGATGGTGGGGTAGACTAGAAGCAACACTGTTTGTGTGTGGATTCCACAATGCCTCTTTAGCAATCCATGTCAGTGTGAGTTAATTTGGTTTATGTAACCCACAAATTATTTTTAGGACTTTGCTCAGGGTCAACTGCTTTATGTGTATTGCAAATCTCCCTTGTTTCATCAGGGAGGAATCTGATACAAAGAGCTATTTACTTATTTATCAACACCAAGTAACCCATAGCTGTGTCATAATTGGAATACACCCCAATACTCAGCCTCTCGTTTTGGATGTTTCTTTTTCTTTCTTTCTTTCTTTCTTTCTTTCTTTCTTTCTTTCTTTCTTTCTTTCTTTCTTTCTATTTATTTATTAATTATTATTTTGCGACAGGGTCTCACTCTGCCACCCAGGTTGGAATGCAGTGGCACCATCTCAGCTCACTGCAACCTCAACCTTCCAGGGCTCAGGTGATCCTCCCACCTCAGCCTCCCAAGTAGCTGAGACTACAGACATGCACAACACACCTGGCTACTTTTTGTAGAGATGGGGTTTCACCACATTGCCCAGGCTGGTCTCAAACTCCTAGGTTCAAGCCATCCACCTGCCTTGGCCTCCCAAAGTATTAGGGTTACATCTGTGTCCAGCCAGATGTTTCTTTTGCAATGCAATTCCCAGTAGCATTCTCTATCTCAGCTTTTACCCTATCTGACTGAGTTCAGGAAGGACTGTTATTTCAGGTCTGCCTATCCTGGTCATTTATGAAGGGTATTACAATGGTCCCATTTTACAGAAAAGGAAACAGTCTTAAGGAGAGGAAAGAATATACCCTAGTTAATGGAGGAAAAGCCAACTAAGTTAGCCAAAAAATTACTGATTCCTTTTGATTAAAAAAAAAAAAAAGTCATTTATCTTTGCTTCCAGAGTTTCAGACCCAATGATCTCCCATCTTTCATGTCATCCTCTAAAACTGGCTTCCTGCTTAGTTCTCCTCCTCATCAAGTATGGGTTCACATTATTGGGCTTAATTAAAATCACTTGGCAGATTTTTTCCATATTGTCAATAGCACACATACCTTTGCTCTTTAACCAATCACAGAAGAATTTTCTTATTCTCTATTATCCTTTAGGTACTTAATAAGAGCTTTAAATAATGTTCAAAGGAAGCCACTATCAATTGCAACTTGAATAATTCATTTGTAAAAAAAATTAAAAATTTGTAGTGAGATATTATAAATTGAAAGTGTTATTGGATCCTTTGTTTCAGAATATTTGCTTGAGGAAATGACCAAGAACTTAAAATCTGTTCTAACATTGACCCCTGAGAAACATAATAAACATGGAAAGAGTGAAGAGTGTGGAATTGTTTAAAACCTGATTTTGTCAAGGTAGAGATACCTTTACGTTGCATATATTTTCCTCTTCTTTATTAAGCAGATAATTACGTTAAATGTTAAATGACTCCAGGACAATGAGAATTAAATTGGCCTTAATAATAATGTGTCTGATTTTTGCCCACTCTGAAATATAAGGACATGCCCTCCCTGGGAAAGTTTGAATGGAAAAATTGTCTATCTTTTATTCCTCCCTAAATAGTGGCTTCTTTAATAGTAATAATAATGAATATCAAATTTTAAGATGGCTTCCTCTATCATGACTTCAGTTTATATTCCACTTTAGGGAGAAGTTGAAATCTCTGGGAGGTGTTTGCACTCATTAGTTATTTGCATTTAACGTATATTTGCTGAGTACCTGACGTGTACTAATCAGATACTCTGCTAAATGTTAGGGACAGGCAAATGAGTAAGACACAGGCCTTGGACTTGGACCAAGGAGAAATATGTTTAGAAAAATTAATTAAAGCACACATTTTATTGAAGAAATTAGGAAAGATTTCATGGTAGAGACAATATTGGATATGGTCCCAGAAGACTGAGTTGCCGTTTACTGCTTGGAAGAGGGAAGAATTATGCAGAAGGGCAGAAGTAAGAAAGTTGGACATTTTAAGTTCAGGAGGTAAATATCTCAAAGTATTTCAAGGTAAATGACAACTTGTCTTAGAGTTTTATAAAATTCGAAGCCAAAGTTCATCAGTAAATTTTCTTTTCTCCAGTGCTATAAGAAATCTAGTTTGTTATAACAGTGATGTCATTTTAATCTGATGCACTGTCTAATTGCTTCAATGGCCAGACTTAAATAGTCTTTTCACAATATTTTTTCTCTTAAATTTCTGGTGGGCCAAAGAGATGCCAGTAGAGGAGTGAGTTGAAATTAGGAGATCTGAATGGTGACAGAGACTGGTCACTTTTTCCCCAAACACGCTCATCAAAGAGCATGTTGTAAGATGCTTGAGCACTGTAATGTAGATGCTGTTCTAAGACTTCATAGAATTGGACACTGATGCCTAAAGTTAGTGAGTGTAAACCTTGGGATTGAGAGCGGCTTTTTAAATTCACATGGAATCATAGAAGTTAGGCAGGGGTGCAATGATACAAAACTGGAGGCCTTGTTCTGTTCTAAATGATTATATATGATAGTGAGGAGGGCTGTTTCTATCAGCAGACATTTTGGCATGGTTTGACATGGTTGTACATTTTAATGTTTTTTCACTTTCCTTATGAGCCCTTTTTTATTTTTTATTTTTATTTTTTGAACTACCCATCCATATCTACAGCCTATTTTTCTCTTTTTTTAAAATGTATTATTATTTTTTGAGACAAGAGTCTCGCTCTGTTACCCAGGCTGGAGTGCAGTGGTGCAGTCTTGGCTCACTGCAAGCTCCGCCTCCCAGGTTCAAGCAATTCTCCTACCTCAGCCTCCCGAGTAGCTGGGACTACAGGCGCAAGCCACCATGCCCAGCTGATTTTTGTATTTTTAGTAGAGATGGGATTTCACCATGTTGGCCGGGCTGTTCTCGAACTCCTGACCTCAGGTGATCCACCCACCTCGGCCTCTCAAAGTACTGGGATTACAGGTGTGAGCCACCATGCCTGGCCTCACTTTCATTACAATATAGGTGATCAAGTATCACTTTACCTCAAATCACTCACTTTAGGTATCTCCATGCATTCATTCAAATAGACTTCTATAGAACAAATTCTTAGGCACTGAGGATAAGAAAGGAAAGAAAGAGAGAGAGCGAGAGGGAGGTAGGGGAGAAAGTAGGGAAGAAGGAAGGAAAGAGGGAGGGAAGGAAAGAAAGAAAAGAAAGAAAAATATCCCTGCACTTAAGGTGCTCTTACTGTGGGATTGTGAAGAGTATGTTAATGTGCTGAAAGGTAGTCTGAAGACTTTATAAACTATGCTCACTTTTGGAAGGTACTGTAGCAGTGACAGTGGTTAAGGATTAAGATTAAGAGAAATCACTTCAGTGGAAATTGTACCCTATATAGTCATTTGAAACGTAGCTCCTTTAGAATGTGCAAACTTTCTTCTCATCAAATGCAGGATCATTTAATCATCACAACTTCAGTAGTCTGGAAATGTCAGCATGCCATGAAAGTTGGTGTTCAAGAACATGACTGGAAAAATATTTCAACCCTCAGTCCACTTGGATGAAGCCAAGGAATCCACTATCTTTTCTATTCCAGCCGTACCTGTCAAAGTAATTTATCAGAATTAGTGCTCTTTTTGATGATGTAATAGTGAGCCGACACATAATTTTACTATATCTGATAAGCAAATTATTAGCTCATGCCAGAACAAAAAGGATGGACATTGCCACTCAAAATTGATTATTTTACGTAACACAGGGACCACCCATAGACTACATAGGATTATCACAGAACTTCAGAAATTCTTGAATCTCATTTTGAGAACCACTTTTCCATTGTACTTTATTCTGGTGTTTTCTTGGATAGCATGTATCTGGGATATATAGCCAGAAAGTTTATGCTTCTAGTAAGGCCAGAGATAGAAACTTGAGCTGTGTGGATACAGGAATACTTCAGAAAAGCCTCAGGCTAATATAGTCAGACTTTACTCACTGGATTGCCTGGAAATAATTTTTGGTCGGTGCTATGAACTGAATGTTTTCGTCCCTCTGTGAGGCAATAGCAAGAAGGTGGCAGTCTGCAAGCCAGGAAGAGAGCCCTGAGCAGAAACCAAATGGGCCAACACTTAAATCTCAGACTTCCCGCCTCCAGAACTGTAAGAAAATTAATTTCTGTTATTAAAGCCACCCAGTCTATCGTATTTTGTTATGGCAGCCCAAGCAGACCAGTACAATCAGAATAGGGTTTTTTAGGGGAAAGTAGAAAGTTGCTTTTTATTCAATGTGATGTTTAGCATTCGGGCCATATGTGCACATCTTATAAGAGATGCTAAATCAGTTTTTGGATTACTTTTCAAGAAGCCTAAAATGAGTCTGGGTTTTCTACGACTTTGGTAGATAAACATGCAATAGAGAAAAAGTTCACCTCATTTAAATTTTTCCTTTTTCCCCTTTTTACCAGTCTCTACTACCAAATAGTTGTCATCACTGCAGTAGTCTTTGGGCACATGCACAAACTACACACAGACACATATACACACAGACACACACACACACACACTCTCACACACACACACAGACTCCCATGCATATGCTCCCTAACCATGCCATGAATTTTAGGAGTTTGCCTATTTAATTGCCACTGATTTAAATTGATTTCAAAATGAAATGAAACAAATTAAGTAATCTTTAGGTTTTATTTCATTCAATCACCAAGCAAGAGCAGTAACCTTAATTTAAAGAATGGTGGTATGGCCTAGATTTCCTATCTAGCAAGGAGATTTATGGCATAAATGACATCAAAAAAATGAACCAATAGGGTACTATTTGTGATTCTGTGTTAAAAAGGGGAAAATATTTTACAAGATTCATGAGCCATTATTTTAAATCCTTTTGTAAATATGGGTTAGTTCATCATCTTTTCTGATTATATTTATATTCAACTCTCAAGTAGAACTTCTGCTTCCTTTTTTGAAATGCCACCAACAGCAGTACCATTTTCACTAATACAAACAATGTTTATAGTGCCCAGAAATGGTGTTAGGAATATAGGACTCTTTCATTATTTGTAAACTAGACATTCCTCAAAGAGGTGCCCTATTTAGTTCTGGTTTAGCTTTTTGAACAAAACCATTTAAATATTATAATTCTTAAGTTCTTCATGAAATTTTCATATTTCTATAATAATTGTCATTAGGTAGATAAAATAATATTCTAATTTTTATTTCTAAAAAATATAATTTGCATACCTAAATGGATTAGGAATTATATTATAGATTTATAACACAAAACAATTTTGGCTTTTTAGGTCAGTGATGGGTTCACTAAATTCTTAGGAACATAACTATAACTTTGTTTGTACTGAAGTTTTATCCTTAGAAGACTAAAATATTTTAACTCCATGAAACATCTAAGCAAGACATTATTGTGTGGTGCTTAGGAAGAAGGATTTGGAGAAGACTAACTGAGTTTAAACCCTAACTTTACTAACTACATAACCTTGGGGAAGTCACCAGGGCTTTCTCTTACATTGATTCCGTATTTGTAAAATGGGGATATTAATAAATTTGGTCTCACAAGTTTGCTTTGATGATTAAATTAGTAAAGATTTGTTGCAGAGAACAGCAAAATAAAAGTGTTCACTCTTGGTAATAGGCATTACACAGCAGTCAACGAAAGTTTGAGAAGGAAAAAAATAAAAAATATGCACTGTCTGGCACAACCAAATGGAGAGGAGTCTTAGAGGTCCTAAATTATGACGTACACTGTGACATCCACTGCAGGAACCAGGATATTAACTACAGATGTTATTGGGTCTTCCTAATTCAGCATCTTTTCTCAGTAATACCTGAAGACAATGTTTATAACACTTAGAGATGATAAAAAGATAACTAAGACTTATTAAGAATAACGGAGTAAACTGCTTTGACTTCCATCTTTATTATCTAGGGTTCTCTGGTCCTCAAAGTTGATACACTTGGCATTTGACCCCTTTTCTCTGACATGTTTAGCTATTGATCCATTTGATCATTCTTTCTGTCTTAATTTAGTCCAAACTTGGATCATCATCTTTCTTCTTTGTCACCTACTCCTTTCTGTTCTTTCTGCTGCTCACCATAATCCCACCTTTCCCAAACTCAAGATGACTTTTTTTCAAGGAATATATGCTCTCCCACCTCACCTGGTTGCTTATATCCAGCTGTGCTGCTTCTAGTAGCATAAGAGATGCACCATTGGTCATTGGAGTGAATGATCGTTACTGTTCTGCTAGTTCTCAATGGTAACAACCTTAGGTGATTCCTCACCAGTACCTTCAATGAAGGTAGGGAGGAACGGTTTTATGGTAGGACATGCCAGTTTAAAGATAGTGATCGGGTCTTCCTACTTAAAATCATGAGTAGCAGAAGAGAGAACCACGTATCTTGGGATCTGAACTGGTGACCTAAACATGAGTTTCAGCACCTGTTAAATACCCCAGAGCTATTCCAGCTCTTAAATTGATTCTTTGCTGCTCATTTGAAAACAAACATTAAGGAGGAGAAAAAGGGCATGCTGAACACCAAGCATGAATTAAAGACCTTTAGAAAATTTGATATTTACTTGCCCAAGCATACTCAATGGAAGACTTGTCTTATTGAATTCATACTGTATCAAAATGACTTCTCAGAAGACACCTGTTGAAAAAAAGCATTTGTTCAAAAGAGAGTAATTTAGATAATGGAAGTAAGAAGGCCTAAAGATGGTGACAAGTCCATGCCTTTGTATTAGTCTGTTTTCACACTGCTTTAAGAATTACCTGAGATTGGGTAAATTATAAAGGAAAGAGGCTTAATTGACTCAGTTCTGCATGGTTGGGGAGATCTCAGGAAACTTACAATCATAGCAGAAGGTAAAGAGGAAGTGAGAACATCTTACATGGTGGCAGGAGAGAGCAAAGAAGGAAGTGCCACACTTTTAAACCATCAGATCTTATGAGAACTCACTCACTATCATGAGAACTGCATGGGGAAAACTGCCCCCATGATCCAATCACCTCTCACCAGGTCCCTCCTTCCACATGTGGGGATTAAAATTCAAGATAAGATTTGGGTAGGGATACAGAGCCAAAGCATATAACTCCACCCCTGTTCCCTCCAAAATCTCATGTCCTTTTCACGTTTCAAAATCAATCGTGCCTTCCCAACAGTCCCCCAAAGTCTTAGCTCATTTTAGTATTAACTTAAAAGTCCAAGTCCAAATCTCATCTGAGACAAGGCAAGTTCCATCTGAGGCAAGGCAAGTCTCTTCCACCTATGAGTCTGTAAAATTAAAAATAAATAAATAAATAAATAAATAAATAAACAAACAAACAGGATAGTTACTTCCAAATACCATGGGGGTACAGACAATATTACCATTCCAAAAAGGAGAAATTGTTCAAAACAAAAGGGCTACAGGCCCCACGCAAGTCTGAAATCCAGCAAAGTAGCCATTAAATTGTAATGCTCCAAAATAAACTCCTTTGACTCCATGACTCATATTCAGGCAATGCTGATGCAGGAGGTGGGCTCCCAAAACCTTGGGCAGCTGTTCTTTTGTGGCTCTGAGGGTACAGGCCCCACGGCTGCTTTTATAGGCTGATGTTGAGTGCCTGTGGCTTTTCCAGGCACACAGTGCAACATGTTGGTGGATCTACCATTCTTGGGTATGGAGGATGGTGGCCCTCTTCTCACAGTGGTAGTCTGCCGTGCCCCAGTGGGGACTCTGTGTGGGGGCTCCAATCGCACATTTCCCCTTTGCACTGCCCTAGTAGAAGTTCTACATGAGGGCTCTGCCCTTGCAGCAGACTTCTGCCTGGACATCCAGGTGTTTTCATACAACGTCTGAAATCAAGGCAGAGGCTCCCAAAGCTCAATTCTTATCTTTTGCACACACACAGGTCCAACACCATGTGGAAGACACCAAGGCTTGGGACTTGCACCCTCTGAAACAATGGCCCGAGCTGTATGTTGGTCTCTTTTAGCCACAGCTGAAACTGAAGCAGCTGGGATGCAGACTGTCATGTCTCGAGGTTGCACAGAGCAGTGGGGCCCTGGGCCCAACCCATGAAACCATTTTTCCCTCCCAAGCCATGAAGATCTCTGAAATGGCCTGGAGACATTTTCTCCATTGTCTTAGCAGAAATTCTGCCAGTCTCTTTGCTAAAACATAGCAAGAGTAGCATTTGCTCCAGTTCCCAATAAGTTCCTCATCTCCATCTGAGACCACAACAACCTGCACTTCAATGTCCATATCACTATCAGCATTTTGGTCATAACCATTCAACAAGTCTCTAGGAAGTTTCAAACTTTCGCACATCTTCCTGTCTTCTTCTGAGTCCTCTAAGCTCTTCCAATGTCTGTCTGTTACCCAGTTCCAAAGTCACTTTTACATTTTCAGGTTATTTTTATAACAATGCCTCTCTCCTGGTACCAATTTTCTGTATTAGTCTGTTTTCATACTGCTATAAAGAACTACCTGAAGCTGCGTAATTTATAAATGGAAGAGATTTAATTGACTCACAGTTCAGCATGGTTGGAGAGGCCTCAGGAAACTTTCAATCATGGCAGAAGGTGAAGGGGAAGCAAGACATATCTTACATGATGGCAGGAGAAAAAGAGCAAAGAAGGAGGTGCCACACTTTTAAACCATCAGAGCTTGTGAGAACTCACTCACTATCATGAAAGCAGCATGGAGAAAACAATCCCCATGATCCAATCACCTCCTACCAGGTCCCTCCGTCGACACATGGCGATTACAATTTGAGATGAGATTTGGGTGGGGACACAGAGCCAAACCATAACACCCTTCATCCATTCCTGTATCCTTTTTTCATTGAAACTCAAGTAAAATAACCCAGGGAGTATAATATTGTGGTGTGGTGGAAATAACTCTATCATGATGCCAGGGTGTGGGTTCAAGGTTTGTTATCTAGAAAAGTAATTTATTTCTCTGAATTTCAACATCTATTCATATGAAGAGGTAATAATATCTACCTTACAGAACAGCTGTAAAGATTAAATTAGAACTTTGTATGTTGCTTTAAAAATATTTGTTATTTTATTGTTTATTTTATAAACAAAAATTAATTTTGGTGGTATGGATCTGAATAATTAAGATCCCAAAATGTTGTTTTCTATTAAACTATATGGATATTTTTGACTTTTCTTCCCCAGAAATTCATAATCTTCATGTCTTCTGCTCTGCAATGTGTGAAGTACAAAGAACTCAAACATAGGAACATAAAAAATTTGAATTCACACTCTGGCTAAGGTGCTCTGGATTCACTTAGCAGTTAGTGCTAGTCAAGTCTTGTAGCCTTGGTTTTCCTTTCCATAATATGAAGTTAGCAATACCTACTTTGCAGAGTTTTAGAAAGGATTGTTGGTAATGTATGAAGGTGCTTAGCGCAGTGAATAGTTCATAGTAAACAATGATTGTAAATTATATTGGGATTCTTTTCTTTTTGATATGCCTTCATATTATCATCAAAAATATGGGTTTGTCTATGTTCGTAACTACTTTATAGGTCTTCAAGCATTGTGCTTATTTGGTGGTAAATGCTGACAAGATTGTACCTTGAAAAACAGGATCATTTGCATTGATAAAAGTTATTTAAAAATTAAATATCTCAAAGTTCTTTTCCTTTCAGATAGTGTAGTTGGAAATTCTTTAGAAAACTCAAGTTCTGTAAGGGACACAGACATTTTAAGTCATGGTTACTGCCTTCAAGAAACTTATACCCTGGTCGGAGGCATTGTTTTCACTAGTATCTCTGTCCAGTGAAATGATATCTTTGTATAGTGACTGGGCTGTGAGGTAAGAAAAGGAAAAATGCTTTCAGAGATTAGACTGATGTCTTTAAAGTCATTCTTCGGTCAATGGAGATGAGTCGTGGGGAATCGGGTAGCAGGGAGGCAGACAGGGCATGAAAGTCTGCTAACTTTATATTATGTGTCAAGCGCGGTACTAGGCAATTCACATCCATTGTTTTAGTTCATCCTAAAAATAATACTATGAGATGGATTGTAAAATATTGACTTTATGCTAAAAAATATAGTAACCTCAGGAAGGTGAAACAACCTTGTCTAAGATGACATACCCAATAAGTGTTGGAAATGGGATTTCAATCGTTAATAGGGGGAGATTAGAAAGTGGGTTTTGTTCAATTTAATTGAAAAATCTTTATAAAATTTAAGTATCTCACCATCTCCAAATATTCCTTAATTTATCTCCTGGATTTCCTCCTTTTCTTCTCTGTTGGGCCCCCACTGAGTTCAATGCTAGTTTGTGGAACCCTCTGATCAGGGCAAGAGTTATAGCCATTCTTACAGTGCACATGGCCCAAATGGCTTATTTTTTAATCTGTGTACTTTTAGCAAGGAGAAAAACTGACAGTTATTTCAGATGTGCTAGTCTTTGGTATCAAATAGAAAGAAACTCATTCAGCATAATTTATTGTAAAAATGTTGTACAGAATATACCACAATTAAGATACACAATTCAATCATTTATCCTTTCACTTAACGAATATGAGTGATCATTGCTCCCACCCCCTAGTCACAAAACTTTATAAAGCAGTTTTAGATAATCAGTACAGTCAGCTGCATGTAGCAGAAAATCAAATTAACATGGCCTAGCTGAAAATAATTTTTTTGTGTAAAAAGAAATCTGACGATGGACAATTCGAGACAGGCAGAAGAAGGGTGAAGAGATCATGAGTCCATCACTTTTTAAAAGTGATTTTAGGAGTCCCAATTAGCAACTTCGGCTTGCATCTCGTTGGTCAGAATCCATCACATGGCCACTCCTGCCTGCAAGGAGAGCTGTGTTGTGGTTTGGAATGTAAAAATTGTAAGAAAAAGAAAAATATTATCAGAGAGGCAGAAGGAAGTCTTTCTAAAATATCAAGAATTTTAGTTAGCCTCTATAAAAGCAACTCAATAGCATGAAAACAAATAACCTGATTAAAAAATGGAAAAAGGCCCAAATAGACATTTTTTAGTAGAAGACATACAAATGGCCAACAGGTACTATATATGAAAAAAACATTCAACATCACTAATCACACAGGAAACACAAATGAAAAAAAAAACACAAGATATCACTTCACATCTATTAGGGTGACTATTATCCAAAAAAAAATAACCCAAGATAACAAGTATTAGTGAGGATGTGGAGACAAGAGAACCCTTGCATACTTTTGATGTAATTTAAATTAGTACAGCAGTTACAGAATCCACAAGGAAGTTCATCGAAAACCTCAAAATAGAACTACCATATGATCCAGCAATTTCACTACTGAATATACATCCAAAGAAAAAGGAAATTGATATGTTGACAATACAGCTGCACTCCCATGTTTATTGCAGCACTATTCACAATAGCCAATATATGGAATCAATCTAAATGTCCATCAACAGTGGAATGAATAAAGAAAATGTGGTATATACACACACAATGGAATACTACTCAGTCATAAAAAAAAAAGGAAATCCTGTCATTTCTGACAACATGGATTAACTTGGAGGGCATTATGTTAAGTAAAATAAGTCCGGCACAGACAGACAAGTACTACATGATCTGTTACATGTGGAATCTAAAAAAAATGATTTCATAGAAGTGGAGAGTGTAAGCCTGGGCGCGGTGGCTCACGCTTGTAATCCCAACACTTTGGGAGGCCGAGGCAGGTGGATCACCTGAAATCAGCAGTTTGAGACCAGCCTGGCCAATGTGGTGAAACCCCATCTCTACTAAAAATACAAAATAATAATAATAATAATAATTAGCTGGGAGTGGTGGCAGGCACCTGTAATTCCAGTTACTCAGGAGGCTGAGGAAAGAGAATTGCTTGAGCCCGGAAAGCAAAGTTTGCAGTGAGATGAGATCATACCATTGTACTCCAGCCTGGGCAACAAGAGTGAAACTCTGAAAAAAAAAAAAAAGAGAAACAGAGAAAGAGAGAGAGAAAGAGAGAAAGAGAGAGAGAAAGAGAGAAAGGGAGAAAGAGAGAAAGAGAGAAAGAGAGCAAGAAAGGAAGGAAGGAAGGAAGGAAGGAAGGAAGGAAGGAAGGAAGGAAGGAAGGGAAAAGAAAGAAAGAAGGAAAAGAGTGTAAGAGAGTATAATGATAGTTACAGAAGGATGAGTGGTTAGGAGGTTGAGGATAGGGGGAAGTTGTTAGTTAAAGGATACATATTTATTTGTTGTTTCGTTTTGTTTGTTTTGTTTGTTTGTTTGGTTTTTTTTTTTTTTTTTTTTTTTTGAGACGGAGTCTCGCTCTGTCGCCCAGGCTGGAGTGCAGTGGAAGGATACATATTTATAGTTAGATAGGAGGAATAAATTCAAGAGGGCTATTTTACAGCATGGTAACTATAGTTAATGATGATAGATTGTATCTTGGAAAATTCTAAGAGAGTAGATTTTAAGTGTTCTCACCACAAAAATGGTAACTACATGAGGTAATAAATTTGTTAATTAGCTAAGTTTAACTATTCCACAATGTATATATACTTCCAAACATCATGATGTACACAGTAAACATATAACATTTTATATGTCAATTTAAAAACTAATTGAAAGAAAGAGAGAAAGGCAGGGCAGAAAAAAAGGTGTGAGTGGCTTTGAAGAAACTATTAGTTCATTACAATGTTGGGTAAAGGAAGCTACTAGTCTTACCTGAGCTGTGTTTGATGATGCAAACCCTGCTTCTGTCACTTTTTCAAGTTTCTTGGCCTCTGGAGCAGAGATAATTTTAATAGTTATAGGGTTCTTATGTCAATTTTATGAGCTAGTGTGCTATGCCTGGCACGTAGTAAACTTTAATATATATGGGCAACTATAACAATAAAATTAATATTTGTTGGTATCATTATTAAGCAGTATAACACTCATACTTCTCTGTGACTGGAATGAGCCTTTTTACATTATCTGCATATTTTTTGTCCTAGGAATACCCAGCTTGGGTTCTGGATATGTCCTCTGAGAAGGTGCCCATGTCACTGACTACACTGGAGGCCAATGCAGATACTAGAGGAAGGTTCCATGGTAGTTAAGTGTGGACAAGCTAATCACTGAAGTTCCCTGATGTAGAGCTGATAATCTCTGGAGTTGGATGGAAGACTGTGCTGCCTTGAAGCTCTGAGAGATGCCATGCCAATTCAAGGCAAGGTCTTTATTGTTGAAATTCTTGCATAATGACATCTTTATTCAGGTGAAAATACAGGATGAATTTCAACTGTATGATACTGTTTATGTTCATCAGACACATTATTTGTCTTTACAAAGACTGGTTTCAATAAACTGGCTGTGTAACCGATATTAAATAAACATGGAATTTTACACATTCATAATATTTGGTTTCTTGTGATTCTGATGAACTATACTTTCAAGCATTGTCAGTTCATCCTCATTTACAAAGAAACATTTGCTGTAGCAGAGTGATGTAGTGACTTGCTTTACTTAAGATAAGTCAACTTTTCTATTCAATGTTTAATGTGAAACTGACTTAAAAATGTTCTTTTAGGCCCCATTTACATTTCTCTTTGTATAACATGCATTATACTATTTTAACTTAATACTGTGGCTACATAAAGCAAAGATATTCTAATTCTGTTTTTAATTTATTGTTTTGCAAGATAAATAATTTTTAATGCACTAATAAAGCTAAGGAGTTCATATTAAAAGACATATTATATGACCTACTGAAGTTGATCTATGGAAATTGACTATCTTAAAAGTAATTTTGTAAAATTATTTTGTATAAAATTGACTTTCTTGTATGAATTCTTGACAACAAATATAAAACAAAAGGAAGTTGAAACTCCTTCTACATCCTTCTGCACACTGAAGAGAGTTAATTGAATTCTTTCTAACTTCATGGTTTTTGTGTTTCTTAGAAAAAGAAATCAGATGAATAGTAAACATTGCAGTTGCACACATCTGCTTCTGGCTACCTATTTAAAATGTACTTTTTCAAAGTACACTTAGTTTTTTCACATCTTTAAAGTGATATCATTTTATTTGTGGATTTATTCATGAAATGTTTTCATTTTTGCCATCCAGGAAAAGAAATGTCATGGATTTTTTTGTTTTGTTTTGTTTTGTTTTGTTTTGTTTTGTTTTGTTTTGAGGTGGGGAAGCCTGAAAATATGCAACCCTGAGCCCATGCTCCTTCATCCTATAGCCTGTTTCCATTCCAGGCACCCTGTAAGCACTCATCTACATCTCAAAGATAAAAGCTATGAAAGGGCAAATAAATATGCCAAGAATTTAAGTTCCTTTAACCTTAAAAGGGGTTATTTAAAACAGGCACTCCTGGCATACCATGACCAACTAAGGTCCACATACTGGCATATGTTGGATACGCTGCCTTTATAGAAAGGCACCAAGAAGATGCTGAGGAGGGGAAAGTCAACCAGCTAGTTCAGAGCACGTTTCAAACAATAGGGTAATGGTGTCTTCATACCTAACATCTGATTTTTAGTTTTGAAATTGTAGTGGTGGTGATGGAGAGGAAAACCAGCGAGAGGAGAGGGGAATTGATGAACCTAAAAAGCAGAAGTAAAAAAATAGAGAAAGTCTGAAGGCATTTTAGTGACAAAATGCTGATTCTTATGGCCACACTTCAAAGCATGCTAGGACAAGCTTGCAAGGGTCAGCAGGATTATTTAAAAGGCTTAGAATTTTGAATATATATTTTTAACAAATCCTTTTCTTTCTCTTTTATTCTTTCCCTGACCACTAAACTACCAGAAAAAAAAATGCCATCTTTTAGATTGGGCTACTTTGGTGGATGAGTAACCTCACCCATTCCTAGGATTCTTTTCTTTTGACTAGTTTCATTTTTCAGGCAGTGACCTTTCCCTGACCTCGGCCCCAAACTCCAGGTCACCTTTCTGTAGCCCTGGTGTAGCACTGAATAGAGGGCTTACCAGATTGTTGGCACTGGTTAAGTGGTACTGAGCACAATCGTCCTCTTTCATAAGCAGGAGGGAAGTTTCCTTTCCTAGGATTGAGAAAGCTGGCTGACTTATGCCCCCTTTTCATTTTGTTGTTCAGTAATTTTCCCTCTGACCATATCTGCAAACCAGTTGCCTTGCAGGAAGGTGACATGCACCACTGAGGCAAAAAGACTGTTTATTGGCATCAGCACAACTTTCAATGGTACTTCAAAACAGATTCATTTGATAGTGAAATGTTAGTTATTTGCCCCAAATAATTAAAAAGTTTAATTGATTAAAGCTTAATCTCAGCTATTTAAATATTTCTATGCTTTTTTTTTTAATTACACTCTCCTAAATAAAATCATTATATGAACACCTAGCTATGCCAGTCTTCAATTCACCTTCAAATTACCCTAGGAAAGATCTCCTTTTACCTCAACATGAAAACAAGTTTTTCCCAAGTTTTCAAATAGTGGGAAAAACATCATTTGATTAGACCTCAGTAGGAGACCTTAAATACCCTCTATCATTTGGCCTTCATGTTGCCACATAGCCATGGCCCTACCAACAGGATGGGCACTTCTGATGTTCTAGGATGTTCTGCTGTTTCTTCTCCAGGAGGAAACCTGTTTAATGGGTCCTAATGCTAAGACCCCAGGGTTACAGTGTTTTAGTCCATTTGAGCTGCTATCAAAAATATAAACAGTAGAAATTTATTTCTCACAGTTCTAGAGGTTGGGAAGTCCAAATCAAAGCACCAGGAGATTTCATGTCTGCTGAGGGCCTGCTTTCTGCTTCATAGATGGTGACTTCTAGGTGGGTCCTCACATGGAGGAAGGGGCAAACAAACTTCTTTTGGCCTCTTTTATGAGGGTGCCAATTCCATTCATGAGGTCTCTGCCCTTATGACCTAATCACCTCTTAAAGGCCCTACCTCTCAATACTATTGAGGATCAGGTTTCAACATAAGAATTTTGGGGGAACTCAAGCATTTAGATGACAGTATACAGTGAATGGCAAACTCTAGCATGTCACACTGTAATGCAAGACCAGTGTACCAACCTGTCTCTTTTGAATAAATCAATGTGGTAATATTGATGATTTCCAAAGCCTCCCTTTTGTATTCTGTATTTGCTACCATTATAAGGATGTCAGCACTAAAGAAAAAAAAAAGAAGAAAAAAGCAAAAGAAGGAGGATCTCAATAGCTAATGGGAAGCATTAAGCTAATCCCTTATTTTGCCATCCAATTTTGTCAGTTTTTGGAAAAATAGTGCTTCAAATTATTTTTCCAATGAATAGACTCACGTCTTATGTTTGGGCATTTAATTAGGCCCACGGGGGGGAAAGGTGGAAGTTTTTAATATTATTTTGCTATGCAAAATACACATGAATATTTCCACTATATTAGGTAATTCTATATCAAATACACTTGTGATTCTAAGCCGCCTGGCTTTGGTTTGGCAGAATGCAACCATCAGTCAATGTTAGCTCCATGCAGCTGCATTGTTCCCTGTGCGCTCTAAAGCAATCAAACGAGTCTGCAAATGTTCTTCAAAGAATACATCTAGAATGTTACTTTGTTAAACATCTCCTTGGCATTCATTCTATTTTCCACTTTGAATTGCTGCATTTAGTTTTCTAATGACCTTCTATAGCTAGGAGGTTTTATTAACTCTTTGATCTTCTAGCTTTGGGATGAAAACAAAGAAAATATAAATGAGCACTTTGTGCACTGTCTTATAGAGGAGACCAGAAGAAAAAAGGAAATATATTTTCATCAAAAAGATTGGCTTGTGTGGAGACTTTCAGCCCTTCCCGTTCTTTTCTCCCTTTGAGTAAAATGCTTATCAATGTTGTACATGTGTTTGTTTTAATGTCTTCTTTATAACAAAGTCTTTGTTTCTCTTCTCTGTAGCTCTGGTAGTTGAGGTTAGGGTCAGATATCTCTTTATGGATTTTCCTTTTAAGAACATTTTCTATTCTTGGTTTCCTCTAACCCAGAGTATAATTCTTGGGAAATCTGTCATTGTATTTATGAGATACTGGAAGCCCTGCTCTGTTTCCAAGTATTCCTTTGTGTGTGTCTACATGAGTGGTGAAGGGGAGGGCATCCCCAAGCTGGTAGACACCTGATACTATGCTGAGAAAAAGATTGAGAATTCTCTGTATCCAAATCTCAGTTCTGCACTTCATCGTAACTGTGTCTGTGTATTCTGGAGCATTTGGCATAGAACCTCACCATTTAGTTATCTTGCTTCCTAAGTCCTGAACTCATACCATTATTAACACATGGATGAAATACTGCCTTTCAAATTGACTATATTTTTATCTTTTGTCACCCTCCCTTTTTTTACATACTTATGTGACTTTATCTTTTTTGGTCTTTATCACAACTTTGGAACAAAACTTTAGGTAAAAGATTATAGAATGCTGAAGTCCTACTCCTAGCTTGAAACAGTAAAATAAATAAATAAATATAAATAAATAAATAAATAAATAAATAAAAGATTATAAAATATCAACATTTGCGACACAAATTAAACACAAAGGGTGGAAATAGTTACCATCAGAACAAGCCTTTTCTTTTCCCCAATCTCATAATCAGCCATTCATTATATTACTTTCTTTAGCATCTTGAAATTTGAAACTCTTCTTTGTTGTTAAATCTAAAGCAACCTGAACTAAGAGTCTGGGGACTTTTTTGATTTGCTTAATCTAGACTTCAGAACAACAGGTGAACTAGCTGTGTGCTGATAATATTATCTGGTTATTTTGCAGTGCCTTAGGTTAATTGGAAATGGAAAGCCATTATTCATCTCAAAGTGGCTTCATTTAATTTTGGCTAAGTTTTCCTTTTGTTTGACTCATTTAACACTAATTGTGGTAGTAATGTGCTAAAACTATAAAACTATATAATTCCACTAGTCTCATCTGTTTTTCAGTGATGAAAAAAATAATGAGACACAGTTTAGTTAGGGGCCTCGACCAAGTAAGCTGAACTTAACATTAGAACCTGCGCCTTTTCATTTCCAGTTAGCTTTCATTTGCTTTCCTGGGTCAAAGAATAAGGGAAAATGATCAACTATTGATATGGGAGACTCAGCTCTTCTTGATGAAACTCAAATGACATTTTCATCTGAAAGAGGAGTGGCAACTAGCTTAGCAAATCTTTTTCACATCCTCACTTGATGCCTTTCCCTTGCTTTCTCCTTCTGGGAACATCCCTTCCTCATCTTAGTAATTCCTTATATTGTTCTGTACTTACTTGTTTGCCATGCTTTAAGTTATAATTTCCATAAGCTGAAAACTTGCTTATTTCTAGAATATGTTTTAAAAATATTTCATAATGATATTGATAACTATAAAATGCTAAAAACTGTGAGACTGCTTCTATTTGAAACAAAT